ACAGGTCCCTCATTTGTCAGGGCAGAGAATTTCTTTCAAAGTAGTTTCTCTTGTAGAACAAATCTGATGTCAGTAGAATTTGTGAGCTGGAAAAATAGCAAAGTGGTTATCTTTCACTTTCAGTTTTAAGGAACAGCTTTGAAAACCACTGGGAGACATTTACACACTCTGCATTTATTGCTGTAATAAACATGCTTTCCTTTTTAAAGCCAAGTTTCACCATGTGGGAATTCCACACACTTGGTGATTTTTAAAGCTCATGAAAACATCTCTATTTCCCTCTGTGGTGGATACCTTGCCAGTACCCTGTTGTCACTGGTATCATTCTGGCCCTTCCTGGGTTTACGTGCTCCATTCTCCTGAACAACTGCACCTTCCCAAGTGCCTTTCTGTGGCTACACACACCAGTGGTGTGGAGTTGCCAAACCCTGCAGTCTGATGGAGACAGGGCTACAGATGCTCTGTGCCCCTAGGGCAGATCAGGAAAAGGTCTGATCCCATGTTCCCCACAGGCACGTGGACACAGGCAGGTGGGATACACAGGTATGGATACATGTGGCTGGGCACAGATCCATGCAGGGAACACACTTCACAAACACAGATAGTACCAGGGGTCTTGTCCCAGTCCCCTCCAGTGGGCCAGGATGGAGGTCTGTCAGTGGGAGCACACAGATACGTGTCCCATGTGGATCCCCTGGCAGCTGGGCTGACACAGGGTGTCTCTGGGACAGCTCCTCACCCTCCCCAGCTGCTGGTCCCTGCGCTTGTGTGCACTTGCGTGGCAGAGGTAGGGGATCCAGCCATCCTGATCTAGAAGTACAGCCTGGATCCCAATAATCTTAACCCCTGCAGTGTGGATACCTTGTCAATAAGCCAATTCCATTTCATGCCGTGTGAGAGAGAGTATATTTGGAGGGCACCAGGACATGGCAGTGCTCAGAGATCAATGACCTGAGTGACTGGAGTCTCAGCATTACCAATGATCCAGGCAGATCAGAAAGATAAGAAGGCACAGTGACTATTGCTTCTCAGTTCTACATATCAAAAACGCAGAGCTGGGATTGTCAGCCTGTCATGACACAGAGTTGAATTCCTACTAAGAATTTATCAGAAAAAATAGACACCATGACAAATCAGAAATTCTCAGGCTTTGCACCTCAGTTTCAGTGAAGGGTTTCCCCCCATATTTAGGGATTAACTAACACACTAGGAAAGAGCAAATAAAAAAAATACATTGATACACTTAACACATTTCTTCCCTAATATTAAATTCAGAGAGAACTTGAAGTTCTACATGAACAGTAGCACCTACAAATTGCATCAGCCACCATTCCAGACAGAATAACTTCTCAGAATAGTGTTTCAATAACGGTTATTTTCATGACACATCCTGCATGCATACAGTTGTTTAACACTCAGAGTTGACTTTAAACATTTGTAGTTAACCTATTTCACTTCTAAGAGTCTCCTTTGTTTACAGAAGTGCTGCCGGAGAGAGGGCAATGCTCACTCAGTGAACATCCACACCAAGAACTGTTGTTCATTCAGAAAAATTTTGCTATCCATCAGATAACCTCAGCTAAGGAACAATCAAATACCTGGGGAACCTCCTTGGGTTAGGATATATTTCATCTTGGACTAGAAGTGGAAAACAAGCAACTGGGAAAACATGACAGAATATTTAAAGGGCATGTTTGGCACGTTTAATAGTGCTGAAGTTGAAAATAAAAAGGATCTTGTTATCACTCTCTTGAATGATGGCCCTTAGTTTTAACACCGTAATACATGGACTTCCAAATGGGTGCTGTGCATACAAATCACTTCATCATGGCTAGGCTTCATGAACAAAGATTTGGGAAGGGTTCTACCCGTGTTATACAAATCACTTGTCACGTGAATAAGAAGCTAAGTCCAACATACACATTTTAAAAATAAGCCTATTTCAAATATCTCGCTTCACCATACAACACAAGGTATGCAAATTTTGCTGGCAGTTGCTGTTTTACCAGAGATAACAATTCTTCCCATCAGCATTGGCTTGAGTTTCCTAAAAGGGCACCAGGGTCAAGGCAGCCAGTCTGCTTCTCAGTTACATTAAAAAGCAATGGTAAAGCCTGCAGTAAGTTTCAAAATTACACGTGTTAAGATCTGCTTTACAGATTAATAAAGCATTTATGTGGTTCTTTGTCTGTGATACAACACCGACCTGAGGTACCAGTGTTGTGAAGAAGAATGTGAACGTACACACAGCTCGTTACCCACTGACTGCAGCTTCGAAGTTTTCAGAGGCTGAAGGATGATCAGGGGCAGCTTTGTGGTCATACATTAGTCAGCATTATTAGCCAAAAAAAAAAAAAGGAAAAAGGAAAAAGGATAAAGGAACATCTATTTGGCTTATGAACAATCAGTCTTGAGACAAATGGAGCAGGGGAATTTAAAATCAGTTACCTGGAACAGCAACCAAGCCATCAGGCTTCAGTATCTGCAGTGATGAAAGATGACCAAGGCTTTTGGCCACCACAGCTGTTCATCATAAAGAAAGCAAATCATGTACACAAACTTCATTAGAGGAAAGGATTCACAAGCTTCCATAAAACCACAAGTCATTGCCTGCAAAGTTCTCTCAGACCCTGCTTACTCTAAACTCACGTATATGCCTGGAAAGTGTATTTGACTGTCATTCTCCGCCTCCTTGGGGGGTCAGAGGGCTACACATGGATCTGGATTGTGGGCGGACACTGGGCACTCTCCAGCACACAGGGTAATTTGCAAAGAGACTCACTTATATTGCCAAAAGCAATTCCTGCTTTGCCAAGTCATTAGAATTAATTGAATAGGCTCAAAAGTAGGGAAGAGTAATTTCAGGTGAAATGAAATATAAACCCCCATGTCGGGAATATGCAAGACTGGCTCAGGACACTCGAGAACAATCCAGCAGAGTCCTTGAGAGCTTGGGATGAATATTTATCAAGCTGTGACTTACATCTTTGATGCAGGGCAGGGAAGCCCCAACTTTCTCCAATTCAAACCCACAACGTTCAGGCATCTCCTGAACCACCTTGTCCACAAGGGTGAGCAGTGTTTGGTCCTGCTTTTTGGTTGGTGTTTATTCTTTCCCAAAAGGCCAAGGATCTTTCCTGCTGTGGTAACACCTACCCCTCAGATGCCTCACCTGCAAGCAGGCCCTGTGAAGCAATGGCCAGTGGGCCAGTGCACCAGTGGGCCGTACCAGTCTGCAGCCACAATTATCATTTTCAAACCTGTGGAAACCTCCCTCAACTAGCTATTTTTTTTTCCTGAAGTAGTCCATATTTTTCCTAAAAAAATTGCCACATGCCTAAACTTCTTTTCCTAAAACACTTCCAAAAAAATAAGAAGCCTTTAAGTCAAAAGCAAAGCAGCACCTGTGTTGCAGGTCTTTCATTCACAGGCTTTGTTCCTTTGTTTCTAAAGCAGTAACAGAAGCCTATCTACTTTTTTTTTAAGCAAACCTGGCAAGAGAGCTTTTAACTTCAACACAGTCCCAATGGTTTGGGAATAAAGGAAAATTAATTTGTCAATATCTTCGAAATGGAACTCGTAAAAGCAGCAAACAGATGCCAAGTTTTAAGCCTTGCCTATCCAGAAAGAAAGTATCTGCAGAGTGGAGTTTTTATGAATGTATTTTCACTTTATAGTTTATTCTTTTTAATCAATACATACTGTTTTCTAGAGACAGAACATTTTGTAAAACAAAGAGGTGCTCCTGCAAAACAACACGCTACAATCACAGACCCTCCAGCTAAAAATTAACAGAGCCCCTTCTCTAACAACTTCACAAGTTTCCCACAAAACATCAGGTAACCTATTCAGAATGTAACACTTTGAGTCCACCTGTTCAATCAGGTATCTAAATCACCTCCTTCCAAAAAGTGCACTTACAATCAGAGAAGGTGCAATTAAAGAATTTAAAGCACTTACCCACCACACCATGGACCATCCTGACTGATTAGAAGCAACAGCACTTAATTCCAGGAATACTTACCAGATCACAGGGCAAATCATCACTCAATGAGCCACAGGTTTAAGACATGGTCCACTACTGTCAAAACCAAGCAATTCTGAGGAATAAATCAACTAGTTTTATGCAATTCAGGCAGACTCTCCTCCTCCTCGTGACTTCAGGGAAAAAACAGTGAGCACTCAGCTGTTAGACTAGCGTCTTTTAGCTTTGTGTGGTCTCCATCAGCACAATACACTTTACAAGTACCTTAACTTCTTCACAGTTTTTTAAAAAAATTGACTTTCAACTGCAATGATTTCTAAAGCAAAAGAATCAAATGCTTGATTAAAATATAAACCTGTCCTGAAATTGTGATAAATCCAATTCAGCAGAAGGTATACAGAACTAAATTCTTACCTATGTTTACTGACCAAAGCCCAAACCCAAGGCTGCAGCAGGTTTGTTAGACGAGAACGTGGTGAATGACAAACTGTGTGTGAGCAAAACAGGGCTGCAGCACAGCTGTGGAGCTTCCAAGGTTTAGATCATGCTGAGCTGATACAATCGAGGTAACTGAGAAGACAGACCAATGAAGTGTCTATTTGTGCATTTCCAGTTCTCCACCCTCTCCCAGAGCAGCGCCCTTCTGCGGAGGTTAGAGCAGGAGATGAACTTCTGTAATCCAGATACTCAATATCACTGCTAATAAGCAGGAAAGTCTGTCAGCCAGGCTACAACCCAAAGCAGGTAAGGTGACTTCTTTAATAACAACTTTACATTCAAATATAAGAGAGAAGTGGTAAACTCAGCTTCACACTCTGGACATCCCAACTGTTTCCATACCAGAAGCCACACAGAATATCCATCATCTAAAAGGGGCTCCTGCTTATCCACATCCATGGGAACAGGATTTGGACCCCAGTTCATTATTCAGCAAATGCCTAATGAGCACCTAAACAAAAATCCCAAAAAAGCCCTGAAACAAATGTTCAAGTGGGAGACAAGAAACAAATCAGGCTATGAATGCCAAAAATGGCTGTATTTTTTAAATGTTTCCAACTACATACAAGAACAAATGCAGGATGTGATGTTTGCTTAGTTTTATTAATTTATTTTTGCAGGAATCTGCAACTTGGAGTATGCACTTTCTGGAGGTACCATGCATGCATAGCCTCTGAATGCTTTTATACAATTGCATCTCTTAGTAATAAGTTCATTCACAGCATACACAAATCTAGAATGTAGACACCATATATACAGGATTAAACAAGATCGTGTCTCCTTTCTTTAATGAAAAAATTTAACAGGGTTTCACACAGCAGGAAGTATGGATTAGATACACTGGTGCCACCATAAATAAATAAGTTTCAAGAACACAGTTTTTTAAAATTGGTTTCAAAGGTACTGGAAATCCAGGATTATAATATTGCATTAATGCCACTGATTTCTGATTATTCAAATCCGAGAAAAATATTTGCATTTATGGACATGAACAGCAATGAAAGGCCCAACTGAAGAAATGTGGCAAAATTCAGTTATGTCTGGGTTCACATAATATTGACATTTTGAAACGAAAACAAATGCAGCAGCACATAGAGACAGTACTGACTACAACATGTGATATCTGTGCCTTCTTTCCTTGTGGGATTTGGAGTCATGGAGTATAGAGCACGTAAATTCTGTGGTACCAAACGAGCTCTTGAATGGTTTGTGTCCAACTGTCCACATCAGGATAGTCATTTTCACATTCTAAGGTACATCACTGAATTCTAAAACAAAAACTATCATCCTGAGGACAAGCTTGTTTTTAACATATTAATATTCTCACATTCTTTTTAAAACATTCTTTATTGGTTTTATTTTGTCCCCATTTCAACTCAAGTATTTCTATTTCCGTTTCAAGGGATTTTACAATCAATAATAAAAGTATTTAGGAATTGAAGTGAGAGATGTATAGCTGGGACAGAAAAAGTAACTGAAAGAAAAGTTGGATTTTTTTTTAAAAAATGTGATTCAGTAGCATATCATAATCAGAAAGTACTGAGACCAGCTCTTTTAAGAATTATTACACCTTTTCACCACACCTCCCATTTTTCAAGGGAAACACACACATACCACAGACACACAGATACACAATTCAATCTGATCTAAGACTACATTTTACAAAGTACTTCCTTTTGCTTGACTTCCCACCCCTTTCCTCTTCACCCAAACAAGACTAATAATTACATCAAATGAAAAGCAGATCCAAAGTTCAGGATTTCTTTTGGTTTACTATGTTCTGAATAGTTTTCCACAAGCCCCACTCTAAATCAACTTTTAAAGAACTACAGTAGTATCCTATAATTAAAGGGAATTCATCTTAATAGCACAGTAAATATAAAATAAGCTTTATAAAATTTCAATGAACAGTGAGATCATTTTGAATAACTGAATGTCCAAGTCAGTTACAAACTCTACCAATCTAGTAGCATGGTTGAGGGAAAGCTCAGTCATTAAGGAAAAAAGAAAACACAAGTAGTGCATTAACTCAACACAACAGCATCAGCATCCCACCATTCTCACACACACACAGGTTGTATACAATACAGTGCATTTTGTATGCCAGCTGACATTAGGGTTTTATGTGCATTCAATAAATATTACATAAACCAATCTTTTTGGTATAATCTACAATTCAGTTGGGATGTGAATGGCATCACCTGCTTTCAGAAGGAAAATGGATCTTCCCATATTCAAAATACAATTTACATTCTAACAAACCAGCAATATTGAAGCACCATGTAAAGTCTACTATTCATGTTTGAGCATGGGCATTTACAAGTAAAAGAATACAACTGAGAGGTGTGGGTGTTGGTTTTTTTCTTCTTTTTTTGTACAAGCAACAAATGAGAGTAATTGAAAAACTGGGGTAAAATTATTGGTACAAAGGAATTCTTTTTCAATTTCGCAGTGCTTGCTCACTCTTCCAAAAAATATCTTGCTGTCGTGGCAGCCCTTCCTTCTCTTCCTCTGGTGAAGCTGGACTAAGATTTGCAAGTCTCCATATATGGTTATTGCAGCTTAGGGAATTAGTGGACTGGAGGTATATTTTCACAGCCCCCCCCTTCAAAGTAGCATCTCTTCTGTCTGAAAATGGTACAACCATATTTTTGCTTGAGGCACCTACTCTCATTTGCTGACTGTCACTTCAGTTGCTATCTTTTTGTAATTCCAGCAAAAACAAATGGTTCTAGAACTTCAACAGAAGTACAAATGAACATAAAATTGAAATAATACAAAGGCAAAGGCATCAGGATAGAAAAGTCATGAAGTTACTGGTATTGTTTTGGGTAATTCATTATACAGCTGATAATAGCAATGCTTCTGGCTCATGTGTTTTCTAGTTATCTCAGTTTTGTCAGACTGCCCACTGACATGCACAAAATTGGTATCTGCCTTCTGATTTCATTTGACAGTAATTTTTTTACTGCTTTCCACATGTGATGAGCTCCCCTCACAGAATTATAAATCATTAGGAAGGAAAGAAAGCTATCTCTGATGCCTTTGACTTTGTTTTGCTCATCAGTGGTGCACACTGATTGCTGGATCTCTCTTAGCTTATTTAAAATTATCCTGAAGATTTAATTAGTGCAAGAACATATTGAAAAATGCCAGATAAAATATTGGTTCCTCTTCTAAGATCAATAGTTTGGTTCTTATTGTTGTTTTTATAGACTGTGGGGAGAGAAGACACCAGATTGAGCAATGCAGTCAAGATGAGTTTTCCTCCACCCACCCCTTGGCAAATACTGCTTTATTTTAAATAAGGATTCAGACACATGATTGTTCTACCACAGCTTAACATGTTATCACACATCAAGTGAACTGTGGTAATTGACCATATGGATGTGGCTGCCATGAACTAAGAACAGCTTAAAAGGTAGTAATTTAAAACTGCCCTGGCAAGGTTTAGCTGGTAAACTTTGCCTTACAGTCAGAAAGTCAATTACCATAACTCAGCTGAGGTGCTTGGTCACGTCTGAATTGTGATGAAGTTACACCATAAAAACTCAAATGCACTGTACCAGTCTCTGACCAGTACACAGGAACATCCCACTCAGTCACACAGTTCTGTCACAGTCATTCAGCTGCCCAAACCCAAGTTCGAGTTCACAAGTATCGAGTGTTTTATTACAGCAACCTGAAGCATTCAAACAGATTGAACATCACCTTTATAATACAGTATATCGTATGCAGAAAAGTACCAATATGATTTTCAGTTGCAAGTCTCGTGTTCTTCAACCTACGACAAGTATTTCCTGACCACAATAAAGAGAATGCAGTGTGTAATTTTTCAGGATCTGGCATCTGCTATTTTGTACAGGCTGGTTTATTACCAATGTGCAAATAAATCTTTACTGAAGAGCTGATTAATTATTTTTCAGCTAACTTTGATCTGGGGCACAAAGTACCTTCTGTGCTGTAAACATCATGAATTCTTCACAAATTGGAGGCTGAAAAGGCCTAAGGAACTCTTAGGTACAAACTCTTCCCATACACAACCATGGCTGAGCTCAAGTCTTGCAAACAGAATTTGGGGTAGCCTGTGTTTGGCATATGTCCCCGTGCTGTTACACAGCACAGGCTTAGAAGATTGTTGTATATAAAAGCATACTTTTAGCTTTGAAACACGACGGCCCAATGAAAGCATGCAGCAGTATTTTCATCTGTAATGTGGTAGAATTCATTCTCGGTTTATTACCAGTGTTGACACAGCCAGGTGAGCACTGTACAAGCAAACAGGATTGTAAAAAATTACCTCTGATTAAACTCTCTGTAACACTCATACGGTTTCTCATTTAGTCACCTCAGGTTACTATTTCAAACAGCAATTTTTTGTAGACATAAGTTACCCTGAAAAAAAGCAGCAATTACAAATACCCTTCTCCTTGTTTTTTTTGTTTGTTTGTTTGTTTAAACATTGCAAATTTTATCGTTGCATTTACCTGTCTTCTTTTTCAGTAGTTTACAATCTAGAAGCACAGGGAGCCTTTGTTTTCCAGCTAGCTGGGGCCAGGATAAGTCAGCTCTGGCTCTTCAGTTTTTCTGGTTAAGTGTAACACTTCACACCATTACTAAGAGTCCTATAATTTTTTTTAAAAAAACAGTAGTTTTGGGTTGGTTTTTTTTTTAGAGCCACTAAGCAGTAACTATAACCACAGGACTAAACACCAGTAGTTATTTGCTTTCCTGCATACATTCTTCTCAAAATTAATCCTTGTACATTTTCAGGTTTCATTTTCTGCTCCGCTCACTGCAATGGAAAAGAATTTAACCCTTAATTTATTTATCTTTTAGTGTAGCAGAAGCAGAAACATCTTAACACATTACTCCCACCCCTTGCAATATAAAGATTGTTGACTGGCAAAGGCCGGGCAGATGGACTGAAAGGTTCCCCATGTTTCCTTCTCCTACAGCTGTCGGCTTGAGAGCCTGTTTTCAACCCAGTGCAGCCCCTTCCTGAATTTCAGGTGTATCGTGGCATCTCACACTGTTCACAGCGATTCAGTGCTGGGTGATTTAGAAAGGTGCAGCTACCACAATTCCATGGAGCCCCTTCAAAGTCTTCATCTCTTGGCTGAGTCCGTGGAGTCTGTTTGGAGCTATTTTGATGCTCTAAAGAAAAGCCAAAAGAAAACATCTTATTTCAGAAGAGAAGGATTATTGTCAAGATCATACTTCTGGTTGGTCATCTAATTAAACAGTCTATTTTAAAATGAACATGGAAACCTTAACATTAAAGGTCTTTTCCTAAAGCACTTCTAATTCAGTTTGTGAAATCTGAATATTTAAAGTATTTCACTTCTGTAAAGAGTCACCTAACCATAACATCTTAAAAACAAAAAGAGCACTGCTGGGTCACTGATACTGCTCCAGGTTTACTGGCTTAACACATACAATGTTTGCTACGGGCACTGCAACACCAACCTGTTAAAGAATGACTTCACAGGTTTACATAGAGCAGTCCATTACCAAATTTTAAATTCCAATAGCCCTACTTTACCTGAAGAGAAAAACTAATTCTAACTTAGATTCTTCAAACAGTCTGATAGATGACACTTTTTCTGCATCTTTTCTAGCATTTATCCAGGCTGAAAAAAATACAATATAAAAATAAAACAATAGGCCTGTTTCAAAACAAGACAACTACTTTTCTTCCTAATGGCTTTGCAGCAGGAATGTGTGTATGGGAAGGAGCATTTAAGTCTGCTTTCACTCATAAAATCAGCATGTATGCAAATCATACATGAGGTCTTAACCCACAGAAAGACTTGGTTTTCCACATCTCCTACCACCACTTCAAGACCTCAGGTTATCTACTAAAAGTGACAAATACTCCCAGGACTAAGAGCACAATATTGCACAAACTGTTAATATTCAAAACAACATTAACGCATACCTAGAAGGTAAGGTTAAGACACTCATCTGCTAAACAAACATCTGTAGAGCAGCTTTATTATTATTAAAAGAGAACTTATGTACAAAGGTCTGCAATTTGCAGTTGCACACAAAGTAATTTGCAGCTGCACACAAAGAGCACATGTTGCTGCCCCATCTGCTAAAAACGCAGCAGACAGCCGACGACAACCTCAGTGGAAATAGTACTTAGGTTTGTCTTGATGCCTCAGAGCTTTTTGGATTTTTTTTTTAAATTTTGTAGATTTTAGTAGTAGGTGTGTAGTGAGACAAAGGAAATAAAAGTGACCTCCTCACTTAGATGCAAGCACTCTCCAGCCCAGACGCTGTGCAGTCACATTAACACTGCCTGACCTCAAACTCCTCCTAAGCAAGGGGCAGTGTGGGCACTTGACTGGCCAGATGGCAGCACAGAGCAGACCCTTGTCTGCCCACACTCGTCTGCCCGCCCACCTGTAACAGTTGAATGTTAAAGAATACTTGTTATGTAAGAAAAAAAAAATCATCTTTTTAATGTCATCATGTTAAAAGCCAGACTCAGAATACAGTAGGCCAACCCTAAAACTGATCTCTAATAAGCTAACAGGCAAAACTGGGAAGGTAGTCGTAAAAATCCTTACAAGGCATTATCTTTCCAACTGTCAAATACAATTAATTTAATGCAGGTTTTGCACATCAGTTTGCTTTGAAATAATAAATCAAATAGGCTAGTGTGGTAAGAGAATCCCTTCAAGCATCACAGCATAACAGTTCCTTAAATCAACCACATGATCTCTGCAATTTAACATGAATCCAGGCAGCTGCATTCACACCATGGCTCACCTGCTGCTCTCCCAGCTTTCCTGGACACTACCACCAATGCAGGTAACTAATCCCAGTATTATCTTTTCTCTGAACCACAAACAGCAGTTCTGGGCCTTTTCTTTCTTTCAAAATTTCCACGCAGTAATAATTTTATTACATTGAGGGGTAAAATGCTTCAAAAGAGGGGGAAAGTTTTGTTACATGAATTCAAAATTCAACTACAGAAACCTCTGTGAAGTGCTCATCAGCAACCAGAACTTATTTACAAAATTCATAGTGTCAAGAAGTCTATATAATTACTGATTCAGAAGAGTTACTTCTTTTCCACTAAGAAGTGCAGTACGTGCTAGTTACAGTAAGAGGAGACACAGTACTATGAACCTTATCACACAACATTTTCAGAGAAAAGAAAGCTTTTTCTCTGTGTCAGAGTATAGGATCCCAGGATGGCTACTTCAGCAGAAAGACACAAGGTGTCTAAAAACTTCCACTAATATTTGAAACCATTCTTTCAACAGATTTCAGGAAGAAAAATGTAGGTCAAAAAATATCTGAGACAAAAGGTAGAGTTCTGATCTGAAATCACCACTAAACAGAGTTGAATTCAGAGTTACTGAGCTACACAGTGACTGTGTGTCTGCTTGGGATGTGTTGAGTCACTCTGGCATGTATTGACTGAATCTCCACTGGACAAGAAGTGAGACTAAATTACGTAGCTCTTATGCTTACATAAAACTTAAGTGTCCTGAGCTGGATATGAATCCTGATACTACATAATTAGCACTGAAAATTAATGAACCTATACAAATGGGACACTTATCTCTTTTGACCAATGTGAGGAAGTGTCCTCCTTGGTCCTTAAAATATCTGAAGCTCTTGCTGTGCTAAAACTTCAGGGCTACTGTGAAATTTATACTGTGCACAAAAATATAGGTATAACGTGAGACCAGGCAAGTTAAAATATAATTAAGAATATAAACAAAAATTTAAAAAGCTGCTGTGACCAACTAAACTTGTATAAAAAACTCCAATTAAACTATAAAATCCTAATAGCATATATTAGAGGACAACTAAACAAACCTGACATAGAGCTTTTAACCTAGAAGTACTTAAAAAAGAAAAAACATTAGGAAGCTCAAGTAAACATGTAAAAATTTGTATATTTTCAACTCTTTTTCTAACAGTGAATAACAGTATTTATAAGCAAGGTTTTAACATAACATTAATTTGCAACAATCTGTCTGAGGAAAACAAGTTGTTGTCAAGATTAGTGCACTTATATAAAGTGTTCTTTATTTGATTTATATAGAAAGAAAAGTTAAATAAGTAGAATTACTTCCTGTCACCAAAGAGATTTTTTTAAAAACAAAAAAATTCTCTCAATGCAGATTAGGTAACTGGATGCATGTTTGTTAACCTACCCTTTTTATATGGCTTTGGTGGCACAACGGGACCAGGCTCTATGTTATCATAGAAGTTACACGTAGCTTTCGGATCAAAGTTTCCTGTCAGAAAAGTAAGAAAGTGTAACTTGAAGGTTATTTGAATTCCTATACCCATGATATGAACATCTAGAGGCTTCTGATTTTATACATCTTTTTATTATGACATTATATCTTAAGCTTTTTCACAAGCTTTGACACGTATTTTCAGTTTTGTGTCAATCCTAGTAATTTTTAGCGGGGTAATCCCATATTGAAGAATCAGCTCCAGCTCAACATTTTGTATTGTTCTGTGAAATGTAAATCTTTCTATAGGATACTTCTTGATAAAAAAAGGAAGACTGTGCATATGCTAATCTATTTGATTCTATTTATGACAAGTTTCTGTTGCAAAAAAGATTTTGCAACAGATTTTTGTTTGCCAATTTGTTGGTTGCAACCTCCAGTTCTGTTCAGTATTACTTGGCCACAGCCTCTGTCAACAAAAAGTTAAAATTTTAAGTAAAGGATCTTCACAGAGGAGTAATTTTTTTTTAATATGATCCTGACAAAGTCTCCACTTTCTTGGTAATGTAATTTAACTTGGCCAGTGGAAATACTAGCAAGTCAAGCTTATTAAGTTGCAACTGAAAAAAAACCCACCTTTTAGAGGTAAGTTATCACTGCTAATACAAATCGAAAAAAACTCCCAAGTATTCACATTTAAGCACATACCATATGAGAATCATAGGATCACTTAAGCTGGAAAGGACCTATAAGATCACTGAGTCCAACCATACCCCAGCACTGTCAAGTCCAGCAACAAACCATGTTCCCAAGCACCACATCAATGGGATTTTTAAATACCTCCAGGGATGGCAACTCCACCACCTTCCTGGAGAGCTTGTTCCAGTGCTTGACAATGCTCTCCCAGAAGACATTTTTCCTAATATTTAAACGAAACCTTCCCTGACACAACTTGAAGCCATTCCCTCTCATCCTGTCACTTGTTACTTGGGAGAAGAGACCAACCCCCAACTCGATACAGCCTCCTTTCAGGTAGTTGTAGTGAGCAACAGAATCTCCCAAGCCTCCTTTTCTCCAGGCTAAACACCCCCAGCTCCCTCAGTCCCTCCTCACATGATTTGTGCTCCAGACCCTCCACCAGCTCCACTGCCCTTCTCTGGACACGCTCCAGCACCTCAATGTCTTTCTTGCAGTGAGGGGCCCAAAACTGAACACAGGATTCAAGGTGTGGCCTCACCAGTGCCAAGTACAGAGGGACAATCATTGTCCTGGTCCTGCTGGCCACAGTACTGCTGATAAAGGCCAGGATGTCATTCGTCTTCTTGGCCACCTGGGCACACTGCTGGCTCATGGTCAGCCACTGTGAACCAGCACCCCCAGGTCCTTTTCCTCTGGGCAGCTTTCCAGCCACTCTGCCCCCAGCCTGGAGCATTGCACGGGATTGTTGTGATTGATGTGCAGAGCCCAGGACTTGATCTTTTTGAACCTCCCACCACTGACCTCATCCCATCACTCCAGTCTGTCCAGATCTCTCTGCAGAGCCTTCCTACCCTCCAGCAGATCAACATTCCTGACCATATTCAAATCATCTTTTTTTTAAAAGTATCAAGTCAATACCTCTAGATTGAAGGAGATCAACTTCTTTCAGTGTACAGTCAACATTTATTTGGAGTTGTCTGTTGAGGCTTCTCAATCTGGTCATTTCCTCAGGCTAGAAAGAAACAACCCAAAATAGTCATTGTGGGAAAATCAGCATCTTATTGAAACAGAAATAACATTGCTACATCTTTGTTAACAGCTTTATTAGAAACTGAGTATAGATAAGGCACTGAAAAAAAGCCAATTTGCCCTCAAAAAACATTCTTCTATTGGCATGTGAGGAGGAAAACAAACAAGTTACTTAATACTAAAATTGGTTAGTAAGACAACATAGCTGAGATCAAGTTTATAAAACCACACACCTTATAAAACTCTATAAATTGATGGCTTGCTACCTGAGTTTGCATCAAGATAATTAGAAAACAGAATACAAACTGCAGCCCACCTTAACTATTACTTGATTAAAACTAAGGTCAAAAGTTTATTTATTTGCATCACCCCAAGGAGCTTCAACAAGCCAAACCTTCTAGCTCAGTATATTTAAGTCATTTGATGCTGAAGGATGGTAATTATCCTTAACAGTAATCAGTTAAGTCCATATATTTACATATCATTAAGAACCCCTAAGTTACTGGAATATAAAGCATTCTTGATACTAGCAGCACTGATTACTAACACATATGTAGGAATAACTATCTTATCCCAGGATGCATTCTGGCATCAGAGTCACAAAATCACAGAATGTTTGAGGTCGAAAGGAACCTCTGGAGGACACCTGGTCCAACCCCTCTGCGAAGCTTCCAACCAGACTTTGTGCTACTGACAACCACACTCTTGGCTGGCTTTTCATCCAGTTTTCAATCAACCTCACTGCTCACTTAGCCCACACTTCATCAGCTTCTCTATGAAGATCTTATAGGAGACAATGTTGAAAGCCTTATCAAAGTCTAGACAGACAATAATCACTGTCTATCTAGGTCATCAGGACAGACTCTTCATCCTAGAAGTTTATCAAATTGGTCAAGCTTGACTTCACCGTGGTGAATCCATGCTGATGACTTTCTTGTCCTTCACGTGCCTGGGAATGGTCTGAGGATTAGCTGCTCAATCACATTCCCAAAGATCAAGGTGAGGCCGACCAGTCTGTAGTCCCCTGGGTCTTACCCTTCTTGAGAACAGAAGTACTATTTGCTCTCCTCTAGTCTTCAGGCACTTTCCCACACACCATTAATCAATCAAAGATTATCTAGAGTGGCCTTGCAATGACATCTGCCAGCTCTCTCAGCACTCACGGGCGCATCTCATCCAGGATTATGACTTCATTTATGTCTGCTCTGCTTAAGTATTCCCTGACCTGATTATCTTAACTAAGGGTATACCTTCTCTGCCTCACACTTTTCCCAGGGTCTCTGGGACTTGGGATTCCTGAAGGACTGTAAAGACTGAGGCAAGGAAGTCATTCAGTATCTCAAGCCTTTTCCATGTTCTGTGTAACCAGGTCCCCCATCTTGCTGAGCCCATGTTTTCACTGGGCTTCCTGTAACAGAAGCCCTTTCTTTTGTCTTTGACATCCCATGCCAGATCCAACTCCAGCTGGGCTTTGGCTTTCCCAGCCTCATCCTTCCACACTCAGTGCCTCTGCATTTCTCCCAAGGACATACCTGCCAAATGCTGCCCTGACACAGGTGAGACATACAGCAGTCAGCAGCTCCTATTGTGCCTTCCAGCCCACACCAGTGTGCACTGCTTATGTCAACACAGTGAGTAAGTCTGAACTGATTTGGTTAGCAACTGCACACAGGGGAAGCTGTTTTTCAACCACATAAACTCCCTTATCAGAGCCATACAGTTGTTTGAGCTAGAGTCACTTGCAGGTGGAAGTCACACAGATAAGAAGAATCAACAAGGAAAACAGGAGAGGGAGGTGCCAACTATTTGAGCCAACACTGCCACTGAGAAGTCGCTTGGCACATCCTGCACATACCAGATGAGAAATACCATCTACGAGATGCAACTACTGCAACAAATAAAATACCTTTTAAAAAAAAGTTAAACCCTCCTGCATGAACACCAAGCACTACATGGCTCAGGCTCATTAAGTAGACCTGGATATACTTTTATAGGTTGTTAGGAAAGCAACTATATTCAGTTCTGTAGTCCACAAAAGCACATGCATACAACTTTCAGAAGTTCTGTTGTGAACACTAAGAAAGCTGGACACGTTTCATAAATTACAAGATTTACCTTATGGCAAGTCAAGAACTTACAATAAATCATCACCAAAACCTCAAGATTTTATACTCAAAAGTTTTTGTACAGTACTTCATTAGAAAATAAAAAATAAATCTGTATGTTGAATTAAAATACTAACAAATTGCTTACTGTTGGAATTGCAGTTGTACAGCTCACTCTTCGAAGCCGCCTCTGCATTAGATCGTGCTCCATACCATTGACTTCGGTTTTCAGGCGTTCAAGCTCTTCTTTTTCAATCTTCAGTTCCTTTGCTAATCTCTCCATCCTTGCTCGTTGATGTAACAGCAAGGCTAATGTTTTACACAGATGAAATAGTTACTAACACTTAAAAACCTTGAAAATTGAATTCTTAATTTATGCGTAAGATTCATGAGTGACCTTTCTGGGAAAAAAAAGTGATTGTAAACATGCAGCCAAGTATCAGTGTGAAGATGCTTTCATGCCAAATGAACTACAATTTAGAACACAGTTCTTCCAGAATTAAAAATACATTTTTAGACAGTAACTTGAAGTTGATATTACCATTTTGGTCAAAGCTTCTTTTTTTGCATTTGGTCTTTCTCGTCTCAAAAATACAAAGGCACCTGTACAAGGAGACAGCTTCTCAGGATGAAACAGCAACCTAGTCATTTTAATACTCTACTGACAAAAAAAAATAATAAAAATACCAGAGGTAAGATCAGAAGGTAACACACACTTCATACCTGCTGCTCAACAGCAGCTGACACATCAGCCTTGAGACATCAGCCAAATGTCAGTCTCAAATTGTTTTTTTCCCACTGCTATCACAGAGTATGCTATAGCAACTTCAAGTAGTCTTAGCTTTTCAGGAATCCTGAAATACTCAATACTTTAAGTTCCCCAGAGTTCAAAGGCAAAACTACAGAACTTCAACAAAATAGCCTAGAGAATCCAGGAAATAAAAAGTGGGGTCAGCTTAGGTGCTTCAAACTCTAATTCTACAATAGAGCTGATTCCTCTCACCTCTCTCTGCTGTTAGTCATGCTCTCATTTTTGTCTTGGTACTGAAATTTATGATTGTCACAAGTTGATGTTGGGCTCCCAGAGAACCAAAGAAAGCATTCTGACTACCTAAAAGATAATACTCAGTTTCCTCAGGAAGAGCATTTCTCAGTATTTCATCCTGATGTAGAACTGGCCAAGTTAGTGTGATGCTTAATCCTTTCTGATCTGGCTGGTTTTACCTGATTGAAGTCTGCTAGGATAGAGAAAAATAAGACATTTGATGTGGGTATTCAGACAAACAAGCAGCTCATGTAACAGTGTTCCAGCAAACTGTTCAAAATAAAGATGTTGTTGAACCTTCAAAATGCAATTTTATAAAAGGCTCCAGCCAGCACTTGCTCTTTTCTTCACCCCTATCCAACAAAGGCAAAGTACATAATATCGCAAGAGTATTTGCATGTGAGCTAAAAAGAAGTTAGAAAAATAAACCACATGACACAACTTATTGCAGAACAACAAAAAAACCTCAACCAGGAGCTTTTAAGGGGTTTTTATCAGATGTCAGTATTCTGCACAAAAATGTAGCACTATACTTTGGATTTTGTATGGATCTACCAATTCACAGCCAAAGAATAAACACTGAACATCCCATCCAAGAATAACATCAGGTGTTTTTATACTATAGGCACCAGTACTACTGAACAAAATTGCTCTCTCCTTTTTTAAAGTAGCATAGTCATGCAAACAGAACTAAGAAGAGACAGTGCAGATACCAGGCTGTGTGATTTTCTACTATTATTACCAAACCTTGTCTTTGTGTGATTCCTCCAACTTAACATGGTATGACTACATTTCATAGCTTCACATTATACTGTCAAAGTACAACTCAAACATGACTCATACTACAGAGAAACAGCACAAGTACAGAGAGCAGAAGGAATTTTTGGTAACGCTTTTCACAATGATTTGCATGAAAGAGAAAATTATAGAAACTTGTTCTACGCATTAAGCTGTTAAATATACTCTTCTTTAGGATTCCTTTTGTTGCAGTAAAGAATATAATGTTTATTCTTCTACAATTTATTTCTGTCAAGAGTTCACAGTGCAGCAATACCAAAGGCTCTGGTAGGTATTGCCACAAATGCAAATGCCCCAAAAAGCATATACTAACTAGTTCTATTTAGTTTGTTTTTCAAATACAAAAAACTAGTCAAAGACACAAAGGTAAAACCCGATTTTTACATTTCAGAACATGTTTTTCAAAGCTATGTGAAGCTACTTGTAGCTTTCTCACATAAATGACAATGTTCACTGAAGCTGCAATAGGAACATTACCAAATGTGTTTGGTTACAGATCTACTGGCAATCTTTCTTACTGAAGAACTGGGTCTAAAGAATTTCTGATTGGGTCTACAAGGTACAAACCAGCACTATTTCAGCTCTCTAAAGTTAAAAATGGATAGAAGAAACAACAGAGAAATAAACTCTCTTTTCAAAACACAAATTTGGAAAATAATTATTGCTGGTTGTCATTCTGTCATTATCCCAAATGACTTGCAGACTGATTAATTTGCTCAGTTTAAAATTTTTCAAATCTACACAGCAGATGACTCCAAGAGAAGTAGTTTTCAGCTAAAATTTCAGTTAAATTTCACCTTTTTTTTCTTTACTGATTTACTGAATTCTTCATTTATGTACAGCATTAAAATTATGTTCTATCCCTACACAGTAGAACACACATCTTAAAATTTGTCTGCCAATCTCTTCCTCCTCTTTGAAAACTCTAAGTGGGAGAAGCAAACTTTGGATTAAGTTCTTCAAAATAATTATTTTCATACCTTTCAAAACTAAATTATTATTGGTATTGACAAGGTTTTTTTAGCTGCAATCCTACCTCCTGCCTCTTGCACTTAATATTCTTCAATCTTCACCAAATAAATTGGATTTAAATGCCAGTGCTTCACGTCTTATAACACATTTGAATAAGGAACAAATACAAAAAATTTTAAAAATGTACATGGAAATTTATGACAATTCTTCAATGCAGAATTTACAAACCAGACACACAGTGTATGAAGGCACCACTTACTTTTAGCTGCAGTGTTTTGTTTTAAGGAAGTCCTCTAACACCAAAAGCATAGCAACTTTAAGACCCTCAGAAATTCTTTATGCATTAGACTGAAACTTAGTAATTTTTAAAAAAAATCAGAATAAACTCATTCCATGATTTTTGGTGCAATTTCTACTTTTCTCTGTACAGGTTCCAAAATTCTCACTTCGTAAGTAGTAAAATCAAGCTGAAAATGCATTTTACAACACCACAATTCCCAGGGTTAAACATTTACCTTGAGTGTAAGCATAGTCATCCGATCCAGAACTAGAACTTCTCTGATATTTATGGCTTCCTTTTTCTCCTCCAGATCCTGGGATTACAGAAATAGGCTGAATAGGTTCTGGTGCTGCAGAACGCTCTTCTTGGTCCACTAAATTTAAAAGATTCTCAGTCGGTGCTCGACCTACTGTGATTTTAAAAATGGTTGGGTTTGGCTGAGATACCATTACCCGAGGAGACTGTGTTGGTGCACCTGTAGGTCCAGTTGGTTGAGTGTAGGTAATATATACTGGATTAACACTAAATGGAGGTTTGGGTTGCCCCGACATACCTCTTGACGGAGAGCTTGAAGGAGGAGTAGTGGGTGCATACAGTGGGTGCTGGTTTCGTTGAGATGGTTGATTACTTATTGGTGAAGGGCTTCTGTTCATTGCAGTCCCAGGTCTTTGCGGTGGCTCAACTGTAATTTCTATTTTATTCATGGAACCTTTGGATAAACTAGGTCCAGCAAAAGGAGGAAGGTACGACACAGAGTGACTGCCTTGTTTTTGAAAAGTCTGGGATGCTTGCTGATACGGATGGGGTGGGACAGTTGAAGGGCTAGGAGGCATGAAAACATGTGAACTCTGATGACTCAGCTGAGGAGGCTGAACTTGGTGTTGAGGAGAGCCAAAGGGAGAGGGACACTGGGATGCCGGTGGCGATCGAAAAGCCGACTGAGGGATTTGGGGCTGTTTCGGAGAATACTGAGAAGGTTGGTAGTTCTGTTGATGTGGATATACAGGTAGAGGACGGGGAGTATAATGTGGAACTGGGCCCTGTGGCGATGAATGCCACTGTGTATTCTGAGGAGTCTGTCGTCCTGAAGAACTTTGAGATGTTTGTCTTATATAAATAGAGCCAGGAGTCCCATAAAGATTGCTTGGAATCTGTGGAAGAATTTGTAGAGCTCTGGGTACGCTCTGTCCAGAGGGGAGGTTTTGTGATACTGTAACAGTAATGGGATTTGTACTGTACCGAGGTATGTGCATATACGTGGGAGGAGGGCCTTGCATAGCAGACGTGTTCATTCCTGGTTGTATGGAAGATGGCTGTGGAGGTGGCTGTGGAGGAGGAGTAGCTGCATTTCTATTCTGGTCATTCATGAAAAATGGATTGTAACTAGGAGAAGCTGCCACAACAGCGGGAGCAGAATGTGGTTCTTGAACTAAGCAGATGAGCTGTTTACCTGCTGTGCGCTGAGGGTCAATGTGTCCATCGCTTGAGCTGTGTACCAGTGTACGACCACCATTAAGTTGAGCTCCATCCCCCGCGTGATAGCTGGTATGAGGATGAATACCCAGATTAATGTGCAAAAGGCTATTTCTGTTCATTCTGGTGTCATCAGGGCTGTGGTACTCCATGTACAGGTATTTGTTGCTCTCCTGTGCAAGGGCTCGACAACAGGCATCGAGGTTGTTGTTGTTCTAGGAGTAAGAAGAGACACCTATTACTGTCACATAGCACAAGGAAGAGCCACTGCTCAGTGTTCAACAAGCCTTCAGCTGATGCCACAACCAAGCCCCAGCTTGAACACAACTAGGGAGAACATTTCATACATAGGAATTTTGAAATAAAGGTAGTACCTGCTAAGTCACGGTATGCAAGTCGTACATAGCTCACGTTGCATCTGGAAAAATGCTCTGGTAACACGAGCTACACTATGACATATTAAAAAAAAAATCAAGTCCACTTTTGGGGAAAACAATGGTTAAAATTCTTCACATGCTCTTCAAGGACCAAGTCGGTACAATTAGCTACTTCTAGTAACAACACAAATCAAATTAAACTAGATCAAAATTGGAAACTCTGGAAAAGCAAAACAAAAATGCAGACTACATTTTAATGTTTACCCAAGTGGTTATGGTTTTCATTTTTCTTTTGTTACTTGAATATTTCTCTTTACCTGAAATTTTAAAAGCCCAACATTTTAGGCCAGCTTTTAATGATAGAACAGTATTTAATGACTTAAAAAAGCAGTCCAAGTCAGTACTGCTTGAAGAAGTACTGCCAATTCCATAAAGCACCTTACAATTCTAACAAAATTTCAACTGCCTTTAAGAATTTCAAGCTTAAGGCTAAAAAAAGGTTTATTCACACATCAGTGAGGAAACCAAATAACCCCATAAATGTTTGATTTGTTCTGCAGTGCTAGCAGTTGAAACTATACAGACAATAAATTATGAATCATATGAGAAATCTAACAGGGAATTCCCTTTCCCTTCTTGCCCTCTCCCCTCATTTTAACTTAACCTCGTCTTATTAGAAGAACAACACAAATGATGGCTTTTCCAAAGGAATAAAATCACTAGAAGGCATTCCAGATGGTGGATTTTTTTTCTCTCCACTTTCTCATATAACAGCCTGTATCAGCTCTGGTTCAGATTTTAATTTAAACAGTAGTTAAAGAAAACAAATTTCACTTTAAATTCAACTCAATCTGACCCTCAGCACCCAACCTTTGTTACCTGTAATCCAAGATTGGTACCTTCTGTGACAGAGCACCTTCTTCCAGAACAAGTGTGTACATATTTATAGACACATACACCCCCACCTTCCTCAGTGTGCTAAAATTACCATTCTAAGGAATATACATTAATAATGGTTTCAATTCTATTTTAAACACTATCCCTATATAAAGTTTTATACATAATAATACACATATAGCCTTGCAATACAATTTTCAACAGCCTATCAGCTGAAGTCATGTTACATTTCTTTTCTAAGGGACCAATAGCTAATTAGTCTTAATACTAGATAAATTTCATGATTTCACTAACAGATGAATACACATAATTCAGCACTTTGTCATATGAAGATTTACTACTGAAGATAACAGAAGACAGAAGAGTCCAGCACTTAAATATGAATGGCTCTCACTCTATGGATACTTCTCTCTGACTACTTCCCTTCACGTTAAGCTCTCCTTCTAGATCCCAATGGTCAGTGGGAATATCCAGATATATCACCAAAAATTTAAGATCAGAATACGTGGGCACCAGATCCTGTAATAACAATCAGCACCACAGTGCTAAGACAGCAACCTCAAAGTTAACCACTACCATCAGCCACTTGCCATCTAAACAGAACTTCATAAACAGAGTCCTCAGCTTCCTTAGGTCGCTTGGTCAGGGTGCAGGTAGAAAGAATGTAGACAGGACAGGCCCTAACCTGATTTGATCAGGGTATGGAATATATTTGTCGTTTCAAAGGACCTTCAATTTTTGACAGGTCTAAAACTCAACCTAATTTAAATCTAGAGTATTTACTGCAAAAAGTTAATGAAAACCAGTTCGTGCATCTTTAAATAAAAAGTGGGTTTGGAAACAAAATCTACACTTTAAAAAAATAACAACTATTTGCCATGTAATGTTAACCAGCTACCCAGAATGCCCTATTACAGATACAGAATACCATATGCTTCTGCAGCATTAAGGGTTCTTTAATTTCATTGTTTAAAGACGACTATGACAAACACAGTTCATCAAAAGGATCATGTACTTAACAGTGCAGAAGAAATGACTGTCAGGACAAATAAAGCTTTAAACTACTGGGCTTCCCCTGCTTTACATTTACATTTGTGTGAAAGCAATTAATTTGTATTTGTATGGTTTAGAAGACATACAAGGCAAAAATTACAGCCACTGTTCTAAGCAAGCCTACTCATCTGCCAGGGACAGGGAGGATACAAATACAGTTTTGTTATGTTAGCCATGGCCACAACAAGGCCAAAACAGATCTTTTATGTTTCTATTCCATTCCTGAATCTTCCCATCAACTGAAGGTATTCCCAGATGACCACTACTTTGCAAAATGATTTATATGTGATTTTAGATGAAGAATGGAAGGACAAAATGGAAAGGAAAAGGTAGGGAGAGGAGGAGGGGGGAGAAGAACCATCACCACCTGACTTGGAAACAGAGAAGTAAAACTAAACCTTTGGAGAGCCCTGGCAGAAAGATGACATGAAGATGAAAAATCTTAAGATTCCTAGCTAAGGCCAGCTGCTCATCTTCCAAGGAGAGTCACTGTTTGCTAAAATCTTCTTCAGTATGTTATTTATGTAGCCATCATCAATAAATATCCCATTAACTACTTCCCTTATGCATAATAGTCGCAGGTTGCACAGACAAGGAAAAACTGTCAGTGGAAAAAAAAAAAAATCACAAGCCTAAATGAAGAATGACAAAAAGTTCTGTCCCTAAAACACAGGACAGAAATGCAATTAGTGGAATCTTCCAATCTTTTAAAATAAAACCAGGGGAATGGAAATCTGTGCTCCATGTACACTACTGAAAAGGGTTTTCATGCTAAAGCACAATCCCCAGACTGTACCGTACCTGAAGCATGCACTGAGATACCACCCCTTCAGGTATCTCAGGGAAACGCTGCCGGAGATCATGGAGTACCTGCACGTCAAGTTGTTGACTGCCCTGCGCCATGCCAGATGGATGATGTTCCAGATTACCAAAGAATGGAAGTCAACAGGCTTTCCAGTGATTATGGTCTTCTGAGGCTTCTGGCATTTTCTGTAAGAAACAAAACAATTATCTTTTAAGCCATCATAACTTTTCCTCCTTCCCAAACTGCATGTGTAGAAAAGCGACTGGATTCGATTTTTAGATCTAGCTATCAAGAGAGACAACAGGTTAAACACAGGAGTAGGAATAACTGTGTCTCGCAGTTTTAAATTAAAACACTCATTGTTCCACAGGTAGGTCCTATATGACATTTCACTGGAATGTGCTACTTCATTCAGGTCTTTACTCAGTCTCATTGTCGCACCACATACACATAACTTTAATTAATTTGACCCACATAAAATGGAACTGTTACATATTTACTCCCAGTGATACCCTGAACAGTTTGCAGGAAAGTCTGAAGTTATCACAAAGCACAGATATCTGTTATTTACAACATGTTAGAAATAACAGGTTGGAAAACTAAGTAGCATAATTATCCAAAATACTCCTCTACTAATAGGGCTTAAACTCTTTTGTCTTTACATCATTAGAAATCCAAGAGGTCAGAAGCAAATTTTGTGAAACATAACAAGAGTTAAACAGAATTTAAAGAGTTCTTGTTAAGATTATGGTGAGAATCTATTTAATATTTTTGTAAAGCACCTGTTAAATTCATACTACTGTGACTAGTGACAAAAATTACCCTCTTTCCATTTCAGGATTCTTGCATTCAACATCAAAAAGATTCTATCTGAATTTCAATACCCACAGACTACTAGAAGGCAAATACAGTCTGAGTCAACAAATGCTTTTCTCGCTTGTGGCTCATGATCACAGTAGTAATCAAAAGGCAGCTGAAATCTAAGCAAAGATTCACAAAAACTTTGCATGAAGGTGGTGTATGACACAGCCCTTCTAACACATCCATCATTGCTAAGCTTCAAAAGCCTTTCCAACAATACTGCTCAGCTGAATTCTTAACTGCAAGAATGCAGTGCTGTGTTCAAAAAGGAAAGGAGAGTCAGATACCAGCAGAGTCGGTGTTCAAGTAATATATTAGCTACCCAAAATCCCAAGCTTAAATCATGCTTATCTCAACCTCAGTGCACCTGTGGTGGCACACGACACAGGTATTCCAATCAGCTGTCCACCTGAGCTCAACTTCCAGCAGCAGTCCAGAGCAGCACAAAAGATTAGCAATCATATACATCTCTGTGCACTAATAGATTCCAACAGCTTCTCATGTCTTTCCTTTGAAAATCTCTTAGTTCTCAGAGGCAAGAAAACAGAACACAATTCTTCAAAGAAAACTAAAATGTCAGGTTTAGGGTAAAAAAAAAAAAATCAAATCAACTTTGGTAAAAGCTTTTAGAGGTAAGAACAGCAGAAGTCCACTCCCGTCCACCATCTGGGTGTTTTGTATGTGGACAACTCTCAGCTGCCACCAGCATTCATTAAACACCACATGTGCTCAGGGTTCCTCCCTGTCCTACCTCATATTCCAGCATCCAATATTACACCTATCACATCACAAACCTTTTCAAGATAAATGAGACAAGTTTAAAGAACAGTGAGATATGTGAATTATCTTGCTGTGACTTAAGAAATACTGCAATAAACTTACATTGTATAATCACAATGCATTTTTGTCCACTGCAGTAATGCTGCACACTCCTTTCATTTTAAAAGGAAATGAGCTTCCACTGACTACAAGAGCCAGCTGAAAATTCCTATCTACACTCACAGTAGGGATTTTTTATAAAACTTTTTTTTTTTGTAAGTGACAAACAAACATCATAATCTGAAAGGCAGACCATCAGCACAATACTCAAAGAAAACCCGACAGCAAGCAAGGTCTATGTGGTTCTAGACCACTCTCCTTTTCCCAGGAGGAAGAGGCTAAAATGCAGTAATGGAGGGGTACCCTACCAGAATGAATTGCAGTTAAAACCCCTTTAGAATAACAAATGACAGTATCTGAAACAGAAGACAATAATTTTAAGAATTTCATTTGCATGAGCAAGAGCTTTTGCATCACTTCTCTCTTCAAATAAAAATTCCAACATAACATGGGTGAGCAGACTGGAGATCCATTGTCAATACGTGCGATGTTTTTCTACAATGGTTTTAAAATAAAGTTAAATTTTTTTAATGTCTTCCAACACTTCCTGAATATGTGTGGTGAGCAGAGGCATAATACAAAGCAATTGGCAGTTACTGGCGAACTACAAATTTTATCAGATTTCCCAATGCAATGCACAACAAATTTCCATTTTCATTCTGAAGAGTCAAAGCTTCCAGTCTTTACAGTTACACACAGAGCCTTGAAAAGAAACTCAAAACAACTGCTGAGAAGCATGAACAAACACACAATCATTCAGAACTCCTTGGATTACAAGGCTGAACTACTGTGGAAATTTGTCAGGTTTTTTTCGCAGTCAATACCACAAAATTCACTACTGTCATTATCTAGCAGCCCAGCCTTTTGTCCTGTGTATTGTCCAGCATTTTGTACTGCAAATTCTGCTTGACCTGCCTACAACTGCACATTTTCCACTCTAAGCAGGCACAAACTGGCTGGAATACAATACCCACTTCCCATGTTGCTCCACAGCACGCGGCAGGCGGAGAAGCAAGTTATTCAGAGCCAAGAGCTTACAGCACAGGCCACACAGCTAAGATGCTTGGACAAGAACTCCTGCTGAGCCACAACAGACTAAGAAAGCAATCCTTCAAAGACTTTCTTCCACAGCATCCACAGGCTAAGGGACACACTGAGGTGCATTATATTACCAGCCTTATAATTACTGAAAGTTCAATGCATCAAAAACCAACCCAAAGTCACAATGAAAGCAAGATCTGTAATTTTCAGAAATGAGCTGAAGGTGCCCAAACTCCAAATGGAAAGTATTTCATGAGGATGGAATAAATTAACACTGCCACAGACATGGCAATTCTAAAGGCAAAACCAAAGCACGTTGTCACAGAATTGGTCCTGCTGTGTTAACACACACAGACGAACTCAAGAGCCACTAGTGAATCTTGTGGATTATGCAAACCATGACTCAAGTCCTAAACAAGTATAACAATCAGTTTTTCACACCTTTTACATGCCCAAATTAGATGTGCAGGAAAACACTCTCTTTAAATTTAATCTTCTTTCCTTAAGCCATTTGTGTACCTTCCAAGTTAAGAAAACAACTAACAATTCCGTCTATCAACTGATGCCGCTTCTCTGAAAGATTGAAAAAATTAAAAAAAGTAGAATTACTATAGTCTTGCTACACCCCACAGATGTGTCCAGATATGTACAGAAGGAAATTTATTTCACTACTGACATTTTTGAAGCGTTAAATCACCTCAAATGAAGATATAGAAATCATCAGGAATTAAATTCAATTGAAAACTAAATTAGATCAATATACACTATCTGAAAATTTATAAATTGTGTACTGATATGCACTTATGCAATTACAATTGTCTCAGTCTGAAGAGACTAGACTGTTTGCTAAAGAGGATGAGTTATGAAATAGGCCAAACTCCTCTCTCTCTGCAATTGTAATGTCAAATTAAGGGGCTTTACTCGAGGAAAATGTGGAAAAACAGAAGAAATAACAACCCTTTATTAAAAGATATATGTATGTTGGCAAAAACAGTAACACAAAACAAAACAACAATAACCACAACAACAAGTCTAAATGAATACTTCTCTGTCCTTTAGCACAGTCCTAATTGCGGCCTGCAGGGGGCGCTGTCGGGCCGCTGGAAGGTGTAGGACCTGCAGTACCTGTTGTGGCCTGCAGGGGGCGCTGTGGGCTCCGGCAGTCACCCGCGGAAGAGGGGCTGGAGAGAGCGGTCCCGGACCGCGAGGAGGAGATGGGGAGGTCCTTCCCCCCGTGGGGACGAAAAGGAAGGCAGGCAGTACACTCCCACGGGAACTCACCGCTGTCTCAAGTGGCGAGGACTCACTGCAGTCTCAGGTGGTGGTGTCTCAAAAAACTCCTCCTCCTCTCCTGCGAACAAGCAAACTCTCCGATGAAACACAGCAGATCCGGGGAGCGGGACAGTCAGGCAGGTCGAAGCCAACAGGATGAGAAGTCGAGCTCGCCAGGGTGAGCAGCCAAAAGAAAAAAAAACTAGACCTCCGGTCCCCCTCCCCAAAAATGCCTGTCTGCACCCAGGGAGCCAGCCACGCAGTCTGCCCCTCACCTCCCGAACAGAACCAGAACCACCCCCCCCCCCTCTCCAAATGGCCCATTAACCTAGGCAGGCTATATCTTTTGTAACGCTAATAACCTCCCTTCTCCCCCCCCCCCATTCCGTTTCTTTCCCTTGGAGTGGGGCAGGGGAAGAAAAATTCCCCTGATTTCCTAATCTTTAATAACAATGTATGGAGCAACTACAATAATTCCCGAGTGAATTTCCAGAAAACAGGTTAGATAGTTTCTCAGGCCTCATCAATTTAAAGTTGATTGTTAAGAGTTTTATAACAACAATCAGGCAGTGAAGTGTTAAGAGATAAAACACAGCAACAAAAAAAAAATCACTTTAGAGAATCATAAATATTCTGAGTTCAAAAGGACCCACAAGGATCCATCTCCTCGCCCTGCACAGGACACCCCAGGAATCACACCATATGCCGAGAGTGTTGTCCAAACACTTCTTGAACTCTGGCAGGTTTGGGGCTTCCCTGAAGAGCCTGTTCCAGCACCCAACCACCCTCTGGGTGAAGAATATTTTCGTGATATCCAACCTAAACATCCCCTGACACAGCTTCATGCTGTTCCCTCAAGTCTGGAAGATGACCCAGAGGGCTGGGCAATCACCACCCACATGAAGTTTAACAGAGACAGTGCTGGATTCTGCACCTGAGACGAAGCAACCCCAGATGTACAGACAAACTGGGGAATGAGATGCTGAAAAGCAGTGCTGCAGAAAGGGACCTGGGGGTCCTGGTCGATGGCAAGTTGAATGAGTCAGCAGTGCCCTGGCAACCAGGAGGGCAAACTGTGCCCTGGCAGCATCAGGCAAAGCATCTCCAGCTGGTTGACAGAGGGGATTGTCCCGCTCTGCTCTGCACTGGGGCAGCCTCACTTTGAACATTGTGGCAGTTTTGGGCACTGCAATATAAGAAAGATATTAAGTTATTAGAAAGCATCCAAAAAAGGGCAACAAAGATGGTGAAGGGCCTTGAGGAAAATCCATACAGGGAGTGGTTGAGGTCACTTAGCTTGTTCAGCCTGGAGAAGAGGAGACTGAGGAGAGAAATCATTGCAGTTACAACTTCCTCATGAGGGGAAGAGGAGGGGCAGGCACTGATCTCTTCTCTGTGATGACCAGTGACAGAACCCAAGGGAACGGTCTGGTGTTGTGTCAGGGGAGGTTTAGGTTGGATATCAGGAAAAGGTTCTTCACCCAGAAAGGTGGTTGGGCACTGGAACAGGCTCCCCAGGGAAGTGGTCATGGCCCCAAACCCACTTGAGTTCGAGAACATTTGGACAATGCTCTCAGGCACATGGTATGATTCTTGAGGTGTCCTGTGCAGGGCCACAAGTTGGACTTTGAGGATCCTCGTGGCTCTCTGTCAACTCAGGATATTCTATGATTCTATTATATACACTTATATAAATTGAAAACCATTCAGTAAATTAATTACATTTTTGGTAATTTCTGGAATGACATTATCCCTTAATAAAGGGCTGCTTTAGGGTAGATGTCAATTTAGCTGTAGAAAAATAGATGTAGACAAACTTCCATCTGGACAGGGCTACAGTCCTCCAAGGATGACCAGAGTCATGGCATAAGAGGCAGCATGAAATAACAGTGAGATCAATAGTACTTACCACTCATATACAACTAAACAGCTTTCTGAATCTTTCTTCCCACTCAACTCAGCCAAACTAATTCAACCTGCTAGAACAATTTAAAAACAAAACCCAACACTTTTTACTAGCTTAGTAAGCTTACCCTGCACAACACATACCCACTGAACATCACACTGCTGTAGAAAGGAAGAAGAAAGGTCCAGAGAAGAGCGACAAGGCTGGGGAAGGGACTTGAACACAAGTCCTATGAGGAGAGGCCGAGGGAGCTGGGGTTGTTCAGCCTGGAGAAGAGGAGGCTCAGGGGAGACCTCCTCACTCTCTACAACTACCTGAAAGGAGGTTGGAGCCAGGTGAGGGTTGCTCTCTTCTCCCAGGCAGCTATCAGCAAGACAAGAGGGCATGGTCTTAAGCTCTGCCAGGGGAGGTTTAGGTTAGATGTTAGGTTTACGGAGAGGGTAATCAGGCATTGGAATGGGCTGCCCAGGGAAGTGGTGGAATTCTCTGTCCCTGGAGATTTTTAAGATGAGACTGGATGTGGCACTTAGTGCCATGGTCTGGTAACCACGGCAGTGCTGGATCAAGGGTTGGACTTGATGATCTCAGAGGTCCTTTCCAACCCAGCTGATTCTATGATTCTATAAAGAAAGGGTAAAAAGGGGAAAGAGATACAGGAGCAAGAACACCACCTCCCTATTTTCAGCACAGGTAAGCCACCTCATTCTCTCCTGGATTAGGAGCTGGCTGGAGGGTCGGGCCCAGAGAGTGCTGGTGAATGGAGCTGCATCCAGCTGGCAGCCGGTCACCAGTGGTGTTCCCCAGGGGTCTGTGTTGGGTCCAGTCCTGTTTAACATCTTTATTGATGATTTAGATGAGGGGATTGAGTCCATCATCAGCAAATTTGCTGATGACACCAAACTGGGAGGGAGTGTCGACCTGCTGGAAGGCAGGCGGGCTCTGCAGAGGGATCTGGATAGACTTGAGAGATGGGCTGATTCCAATGGGATGAAGTTCAATAAAGCCAAGTGCCGGGTCCTGCACTTTGGCCACAACAACCCCCTGCAGCGCTACAGGCTGGGCACAGAGGGGCTGGAAAGCAGCCAGGCAGAAAGGGACCGGGGGGTACTAATTGACAGGAAGCTCAACATGAGCCAACAGTGTGCCCAGGTGGCCAAGAAGGCCAATGGGATCTTGTCCTGTATCAAAAATAGCATGGCCAGCAGGACCAGGGAAGTGATCCTTCCCCTGTACTCTGCGTTGGTGAGGCCACACCTTGAGTATTGTGTTCAGTTCTGGGCCCCTCAGTTCAGAAAGGATATTGAGGTGCTGGAGCGGGTCCAGAGAAGAGCCACAAGGCTGGTGAAGGGACTGGAGCATAAGTCCTATGGGGAGAGGCTGAGGGAGCTGGGGTTGTTTATCCTGGAGAAGAGGAGGCTCAGAGGTGACCTCATCACCGTCTATAACTACCTGAAGGGAAGTTCTAGCCAGGTGGGGGTTGGTCTCTTCTCTCAGGCACTCAGCAATAGGACAAGGGGGCACGGGCTTAAGCTCCGCCAGGGGAAATTTAAGTTGGATATCAGGAGAAAATTCTTTACAGAGAGAGCAATCAGGCATTGGAATGGGCTGCCCAGAGAGGTGGTGGATTCACCATCCCTGGAGATTTTTAAACGCAGATTGGACGTGGCACTGAGTGCCATGATCTAGTAAATGGACTGGATTTGGACCAAGGGTTGGACTCGATGATCTCGGAGGTCTTTTCCAACCCAATCGATTCTATGATTCTATGATTCTATCAGTTAAAGCCACAACAAGAAGACACATTCACCTGAAGCAAACTTAGAACACAAGAACCGAAGCTGTTCTGGTATGAACAGCACTAAATCACGATGGGATTTTGCCAAGCACTGTCAACACTGGAGTCAGACACCGACCAGGTTGTGGCACTGCAAGAAAGCTGCTCTGTCAGCTGAGCTCTGCAGGTACCACCAGCAAAAGGCCATTTGAAATTTTACTTCAAACTCCACATCACTTGCCAATCATGCAGGCAACACTGCCCTCTATGAAAATTTTTTCTGAAAACTATGACAGACCAAGCTGATTACAGGCAGCAGCTCTTTGTCACCAATATGATTATACCATCTACATCTCCACTGATGCATTGGTTACATGCCTCCAAAGGCTGGGATACCCTCCATACAACTCACTGCATGCCAATAGTAACATGAGAAGACAATAGAGTAATTAGTTCAGCTGACATATTTAGAAAGCATTTCATTAGACTAAGTATTAGTATCTTTGGGTTTTTACCTAATATCGTGGTTTTAACAAATAAATATGATTTCAGCCAAAGTCTACATTACTGTATCATCACATCCCAAATACAGTTGTGGAACTACTGTATTTCACTACTCAAGTAGAGGTTAAGGTGTGTAATTATTGTGGTACTTCCTACAATGACTGCAAACACATAGCAGAAAAGCTCTTAAATAGCAACAATTTTGTAAAAAAGTTTGCATAAAACCATAACATTTGAAGATGAAGATTTGAACTGAGTTTCTTCGCACAAATCATTAACTACACAAAAATATGTTTTTTAACATCTCATCCCACACATACCTGCTATTTAATAGGCATCAATTATAACCCTGTAAACATGCCCAGCACATGACCTGGCTGCAGATGCAATCACGTAATCCCACCTCTAATCCTTGAGCAGCCTCTGGAACCACTGCTACCTTAAATTCAAAGGGGCCTGCCTGCAGTAGAACATTAAACTGGGTGTAATTGCTTTAAAGGCATCACAACATATTACTTCCAAAACTGGAAATAATGAAGAGAACAATTTTGTACACTAAGTTTCCATTTATTTAACCGTTAAACAAAACCAATTAACCCATCCCACAAATATCAGAATACTCACATCAATCCAGCTAAAACTTTAGATTGCTCCTTAAACAAAGGCAAGCAAATGCTTTTATGGTATCGTGACACCTTTATAATGATTTGCTAGCTAGATGATCTTTAAATCTCAGAAACACAAGAAACTAAGAGTGGTATAACAGCGCCAAGAGCAATTTTTCTTCACAATCATCTTCAGTCACACACTCACTCTGTTTAAACATGAAATATACGACAGAAAAACAAGGATTACTTTTCCCTGCAACAGTCAAACTAAAATAATTTTTAGGATT